CCCCCAAAACCCCAAAACCCCAAAACCCCATTTTCATAAGATAATTTGGATAAATAAATTAATGCAGAAGGGAAGGAAGATTGTCTACTGGAAGTTCCTCCAGCAGAATACACTCACTCCGAAGGAGTGAGGGATTCAGAGGAAGGAACCACCAGAAAATAATCTGAGCGACTCCATTGCACAATATATGAAATTACAGCAAGACACTTTGCATGAGCTATTGAAGAGGAAGCAGGCTAGTCTTTAAGTCTTTCAAGGCTAGGCAAACCCAGAGTAGTAAGTTTTTGATAATTCTCAAGTATTTTATAGAATCTCCACTGAGGATCAAATTTGGTCAGGAATCCAATCAAATTTTGACTGGGGATGATGCAAAGGTTAGCAACTTAAGAGGCAGGAATAAAGCAAACTTTATTCTTCTGGGCACCGGCAATGTGGATCGTAATTTTCTGTCCTGACTATAGGCCCCGAAGGTGAAGCGGGAAGTTCGCCAGGTTTCAGAGACCCAAAATCGAAACTTTTCGGCAAAATTGATTTTAAATAAGCTGAATCAGAGGAAGTCTGTGGAGAAAAATCAGAAATGTGATCAGTTTGATAAGATTCTGGTGCCAGATGTATTCTTGCCTCAGAGCCAGGGATGAGCTCCCACAAAGATAGACAGAATTCTAAGAACTGAACTCAACCGGAGTACAGATTTGCCACAGCATCAGAAAGATAATTTAGCCCCTAGCAGGAACTCGCAAGAGTTAAGCAGCTTGAATAGTAAGAAAAAGCCCATCTGGATGAGCTCAGAGTTCAGGCTGAAAGCAGGGAATACCCCTCTTCCAGCTATTTTCTCGAATCATTCTCTTTCACAGTCCTCAAGTCGAGAAAGATCTGGCTTAGGCATTAAGAAAGTGCTGCTTGCGAAGCGGAGGAGAGGGGCTAAGTCAAAATTTAGGATGTAATACTTCTAGCTTATTTTAGACCTCAGAATTGGAGAAAAGCCCAGGGTGAAGTCCTTGAACCAGACCAAAGGGGTTCGGGCAAGTACTCTTATTTCACTTCTGCTCAGATCCTTAACTCAAGAATTTCAAACAGAAATCTCACAGTTGACGGATCTGTAGATGTAAGGCTTCTCTTAACTATTTGTAGCTTACAGCTAAACGAATGAAGATCAATTGGGCTCCGGAAATGTCTTCTCGATATAGCTCAATATCTCGCAAAAAGCTGCCTAAGAGGATGGCTCACAATTAGCCACAATAAAAAGCTGAGGTTTAGGTGAAAGTACCAGAGTACGATTCTTTCTAAACATGTTAGGCTCAAAAAATGCCAAAAGGGATAGCAGAGCTTTGAAGGGTAGATCAAGCTTTGAATTATCTGATTCTCAGACTAAAATGTCTACTCTTGCTGTCAGGAAGAGAGAAAGCAAGGTTACCCAGACATCGACGAAGGAGCATGAAGATAGCTTAAACAACCATATGAATATGTGTATATTAGATTCTTCGTAGTGCAAGTTTTCATATTTTGATTGAGTCAATTTATTATATCCACAGTGGGGTTTTGGGGTTTTGGGGTTTTGGGGTTTTGGGG